CAACTTGTAACACCCCCAAATTTCCCACCCAAAAATACCTTTAAATAATGATTTATTCAAAGGAATTTAAACTTTATTTGAAAACATCAGAATTGTGCAGCGGAAATTTAAATGGAAATAAGGGGCGTTACCGCCACACTCGGTTCTCACATAACCGAGTGCACAGGCTATCCACCACCAACAATTAAAATTTTCCATAATTAATTGTTCAACTCCAATTCCTTAAAATTAAGACTAAAATAAATTACTCAAATCACTTTAGTCTATGTTTTCTAGCGGAAGCTCTCGAAATCAACTTCAATATGATCCTCAATTCCTGCACAAATAAAGTACAGAAAGAAAACACAAAGAAACAAAAATTAGCTTGAAATGCTAAGTAAGGGCCTACTCAACCCTGTAAAATAATCAGGTTTGATACATATATAGTTTTGTCAAAATACATGTCAAAACCCTTTTTAAGGGATGTTGAAACCTTCTCAAAATGCTCTACAATTCCTCAAATGCAAGTAAAATATTTTCTCTCAAAAATAATAAAAACTATATGATCTCATTTAGAATAGCATTCATAGCTCAAAATAATGTTTATAACTGTGAATAGTTCACATAGTAGGAGTAAGATATTACTCCCAAAATACTTAGTCTCCAAATTAACCTTTGAAATTCAATCACACATCTCATATATGTAAATACGATATTCAAATCCAATCCAAATGGGTTACTAGCTTTATCAAGAATCATTTAAAAAAAATTAATACCCAGAAGTATTTTTTTTTTTTTTTAAACTAATGCCAACCATATATTTTCCAAAACTAATATTCAAAAGTGTTTGTCAAATTTGGAAGTATCATTCTCCAAATAGTATGATTTTTCTAATAACCCTTATAAGTATTATAAGGAATAATTCACCAAAATAGCATTAATGGCATTGAGAAATATTTAATGCCCCAAAATATTTAATCCTCCCATAATTCCAAAATGGTTTAAGGTCTTAAAGTAATTCCTCCAATAGATATTTCCTTTCTCAATTCCACCAAAAGTATATATATAATACTTTATGTTTCTTTTAAGAGTGGGCGAAACTCAAGATTCCTCGAGCCCAATGCGTCGTTGTTGTCTACGACTCATCCCGGAATTCCGGCTCCCACCGACCACCAATTGGAAACTGAATTTCTACCTTAAGTGTGCACACCCTCTAAAAGAGATTCCAAGCTCTCCGAGTAGTAAGAAATCCAAGTAGTTCGGACAATGTCCCCCTACCTCAGAATGAGTTAGATACCCGGGTAATTAGAAACTACTACCGCGGCCACCAAAGGACTTTTAAAGTCCTCAAAGAAACACCGGGATTGCTCCCGCCACCAAAATTTACCGGGATTTCTCCCGCCACCAAAAATCAACTTGAACCTAAACTAAACCCGCGGTATATAGCTCTAACCACCCACACCTCATGTTTCTCTCGAGATGTCAATAATCATTATAAAAACTTTAAGTTTTCCCAAAAATCATTCTTGTCACACTTCCAAAGATATTCTTTGTAGTAAACATCAATCCAACAATATTCTTTAAAAAAGAATATACATTTAATCCTCCATAGAAAATAATCCACCAATACTCATATATTCCAAAAATTCAATCCATGTAAATCATAAAATTTCCAAGTTATAAGTAATTCCCATAGTTCAAATATTGCATACATATAAGTATGAGGTAAATCATTTTTGATTGGCATCGAAATCTAAATTGCTATAAAAATGAGTACTAGTTATACTCATATATAAAGGTGTTTATTTTATATATTATACCAAGATCTCTTAAAATCATTTGTAGCTCAATAATAATTTTGATTGTCAAATGCTCTTAAGTATCGAATTTTATAAATAAATACTTTTATTAAAACATCTCGAAATTTGTTAATGAGGTAAAATACGTAGTAGTAAATTGTGGTGAAAACAATTTCGTACTATAATCATACATTCAAAATAATAATTTCAAAAAGGTAATAGTTTCATATATGTAAATAATTTTATTGTAACTCCTTAGATTTTCGAAGAGATTAAATATATACATTTTGGAAAAACTTAGTTATACTTGTAATCACATCTTTAATATCAAATAGATAATACGTATTATTTCATTATCAAAATCTCTGAAAACCATATATAATTTCATAGATTTATTAAATACTAGTAATTATTATACATTTAAATGTAGTGGTTTAAAATATTTATATATACATCGTAACTTTCCCAAAAGTGTCTATGAGATGGACATATTAATAAAAAGGATATATATAAACTCTTGTATGTATATTACTAGTCTCAAATACATATAATTTCATATCAAAACTTTTGAAATATTAATCATATAATTAAATCTTTAGAATCACTAGTTTTTCAACAATTAATCTTAATAAAAACAAGGACTTGTCATATTTCCAAAAGTAGTCATACTATATCCGATCTCAAATTGTAGTTTTCCAAAAAAAAACGTAGTATCCAAATCACACTTTCTCAAGATCAATAAACTGATTTGTACACAAAATAGCCATATTTCGCATGTCCAAATGTTTTATCAAAGTTTCCAAACTCATCGAGAAAGTCACAAATTTAATAACGCTAGTAAAATAGTAATTTTAGCAAGTCCAAATACTTCACATATTTTCAAATGATATCAAATCTCAAAACTTGGAACATAGTTCACATACAAGTTTTTGAAACTATTAACTAGAGGAATAGTAGTTTTGATCGACGGAAACACTTACCTCGATATGTGTCACTCCTATTCAAGTTGTTATTTCGGCCTTCACCGCAATACCTTTTAACGTGTAAAATTTTCACAATCATCAGCACTTTATTATATTTTTGGATTTGATCAAATTTCTCCTAACTCATTCATTATTATCTCAACGAATTTTAAGAATTTTCGGCCAGCCTAAATGATACCCACTTCAGTCATTTTCCATACTTTCTGTATTAATCTAGGTGGCCCATGATTATAAGCTAGATCAAGAGGTCATGTTAAAATAAATACGTAGTAGCACTTGCTTAAAAGAATAGAAGTACAGGTGTATACCGTGTACGTCATTTTCCTCCAGCGAGAAGAGGGGTACGGTCCTGGCTGTGACAAAGACGGCGAATCCACACCTCCACCACTCTAGGCGCAGGTACTGGCAGTAGGTTGGCGACCCTCTGCGTCAGTGACTTGGTCCATCGGAAACAACCCAAGTTTCCCCCGGCGTGACATACCGGCATACTTCTCCTTTTCCGGCGGGTCCTTCTTCTCCGGCGTGACGTTAGGAGACGACACAGTTCAACTCCTCGATGCGGCGGCGACGCAGGGCAGGGGATGGCACATCGTTCTGTCCAGGTGCTCCTTCTCCGGCGACGTACTTCTCCTCCCGGTGAAGACGATTCAGAAGTTCAGCCACAGGCCCACATTCCTTCCTCGTCTTCCAGCGACATCTATCTCTCACTCTCGTTTCTCACTCTCTTTTCTTTTCTTTTCTTTCTACGTCGTTCGCTCGTTTTGGGTATATGCAGCGAGGGTCTATCGGGTGGCTGCTATTTAAACATGGTATGGGTTCTAGGCTAAGGTTTTGTCTCCAAGAGATATGGGTGGATTTATCAAGATTAGTTTCTTCATTGATATGGGTGGGTTTGTCCAGATACGTGTCTACGCAATCCATTATTTTTGACGTGATATTAATTAGTATACCATCACTTATCATCCTTTTATTATTATGTGTATGCATTATTAAGAGTGGCATGTACGTACCAATGGCTACCCATGTGGGTTTCTAATTAATTTCTATGGCAAGATCCGAATATCTTATTGGCTGATTGGCATATTTGGTGAAACATATCATGTGAGTGCATACCCTTGTATATTATTGCATTATTACTGTGCCATGTCTATTCTATATTATTGCTAGGTTATTGTGGATCCATTATTATTGATATGTGTACTACGAACTCAGAATGTATTATTAGATTTCAAAAGTCAACCTTTCAATCGAATCGACATTTGTGAGATGTCACTTTTATTATCAATTGTTACAAAGACATCTATTTTGTTATTTAAGTCAAAATCTTATCTGGTCAGTCTAATTATTATAAAATGTCAATTTTGAAACATTTTATATTATTAAAAAAAAAATTTATTTAAATTTTTCAGAGTATCACATTAGGCTTTTGAGAAAATGAGTAGAAAGTTAGAGATTTATACTCCCTCCGTCGGTCCGTCCCCCTAACTTTTCCGTCTGTCCCATTAAGTTTGTCTCATACCATATTTGGTAAAATTTGGGTGGTTACAATTCATTCTTACTTTATTCACACTTTATCAATTCACTATCAACCACACAATTCCATTTTTCTTAAAAAGTTGTGTCACACCCCTTTGTCCCAAACACAGTGGAACGGAGGTAGTAATACTTAAAGGCGTATTATTCCATAATAGGGTAATTTTCTCGTAATAGAATGATAACTTCCACACATGTTTTCCTTTTCGTGGTCTGAAATTGAAAGGCCGTTTGACGATCCTGTTTTTCGACTTGTCAGGTTTATCAACCAATTTTTATACTAAGCACGTAACTTTTGATTTCACGCGCTGAATTGTGTAATAATAAGAAAAGGTAAGATTGAAGTTATTTTTCTGGCTGTATTGGCTGAAGTTACTGTAGAAAATCATTTTAACTATTTTTCATGTAATTTTTCTTTATTTTATTAATAAAATATATTTTATTTTATTTTTCAATAAATTAACAGAATCAACCAATTCAACTGATTTCACTGTTACCAAACGAAAATATTATTTCCTTTTTGTCACACTTTTATACAAAACCTCGATATTAACTTTAATTTTAACGGTAATTCAAACTGTTTTTCTGTAAAGGTATTTGGGTAAGTTAAACTTACTCTATTTACTTAAACTTTGTGTTTTTTTTAATGATACTTAAACTTTGTGTTAGAACTTAGAAATTTTGTGACAAAACTACTGTATTTGCCCACCAGCTGGTGTTTACAAATCAAATCAAACTTCCATTTCATTTTCCCTCCAATTCAAGCTAAGCTCTGTCTCTTAGAAAAAACCTCAGATCGATCTTAAATCCTAACTTCCGGCAAATCAAGACAGAAGTACTCATATCATCGAGAAATGTACTGATCACTCTGGCGACCGAGGCAAGGACAAGAAACAAACATACCCGTCTGAAAAGTTACATACCACATTCCGTACATCTTATCAATCATCAGATGATCGATCGAATGGCTGCAGATTCTGGCCGTCGCAAATACCTCGTGCATTATCTTTCAGGAATCGTCTTCAAGATCTTAGACCCAATCGGCAGAGACCATGACAACATCCCCGTCTACAAAGTGGCCTGGTCAGCTGGTGAGCACAACTCCGGCGGCGGCGATGGAAGGAAGCTCATTGAGGACGAATTCCTCTCCGTGAAGAGGGTGAACTATAGCGACAGCGAATCCGTATTCCCCTTCGCGAAGCTGTATGGGGAAATCATCAGAAAAAACATGGCGGGAATAGTATTGCCTTGCCACCATAAGTACTTGATGCCGGTGAACAGCTATTTCATCGAGCAGGAGACGGAAGATCTGTGCTTGGTGATGCCCTTCTGCGAACTCGGGTCCCTGAGGTCGGCGATGTCCGGCAGCAAGTTCCGCCACGGGTTGCCGGAAACCTGCATCTCCGTCGCCCTGCGGTGCGTCTTGAAGGCCCTCAAATTTCTCAACCGCTTCAGGCATTTCCACATGAATGTCAACGCCGGCCACATTTACCTGAAGAGCGGGCCGCGAATCTTTCTGGGGTTTGCCGCCACGCTGTACGAGCATGGGGTTTGCAACGCCGAGAGTTCATCTCATTCTTCCCTGCCGGTGACCCAGATTTGTGATTGGGCCGCCGCACCAGAGGTCTACAGCGTCCGCAACGATGACGCGAGGTACCGCCACCGCTACACTGACAAGTCCGACGTTTGGCTGGTGGGAATCACAGCCCTTGAATTGGCTTACGGATCGATCAGAGTCCCCAATCGGGAAGCGCTGGAGAAGATGATCAAGGAAATCATCCGGACCAAAACGCTTCCGAAGAAGCTCTTCTGCGGAGGAATTGACGATGACAGAGAAGAAGCCCATGAGGATAAGAGTGACAAGGGAAAGAGGAAGGTAGAGGAAGAAGGTAGAGGAATGAGAAATAATCCTCATCAGCAGGTTGATTCGGAGGAAATTAGGGCATCGTTTTCAAGGGAGTTTGGGGCGATGGTGGCAGATTGCTTCACGTGGGACCCTTGGGATAGGCCCACTGCGAATTCCCTTCTGAATCATGACTTCTTCGACAAGAACGGGCTTACGAGGTCGGCCTTGAAGTCGCACTTTCAAGACGTTTTGATTCAAATGGAGGAGGATATACTGAAGAAGATGAAGAACCCATCCCCCAGCCCTCTCCGTGTTGCTGCACCAGATTTTAGTCATAATAATAATAATAATGAAGATGATGAGAATGATAATAATAATAAGAGGTATACTTACTACTCGTTAATTAAGTACTTCACTCATTAATTCCATACATACATGTAATACTACTACATTATGAGGCACAATCATCTGTCAGTTATAGTTTTATTAACGTTACTAACTAAAATTTCAATCCCTGGCATTACTGAAAGTTCTGATATCAATATGGGCTTCTCCAATCTGGATCCCCAGTCAACCCCTAGGTACGTATGTGAACTGATCTCTAACTGTACTAGTGTACTGTAATGCATTTTTGTCCACTGATCTCTCTTCTTTTCCTGCTGATAATAGGAGTATGCCTGAGTCTCATATCACAACCCCTCGCAATCCGGACGGCCGCAGCTCCCCTGCACTGACTGATGTCCCGTTGAAGCTGCGTTTCAAGAGGTACGTACGTACTTATGAAGAATCAATTGATCCAGCCAATTGCTTCGCGATCCCTGTTTATCACTTAGTATTGATACTGTGGCATTGTCTCGCGCGAATTGGAACTCATTAATTTTACTTTTTCTGAAAGGAAATTAACATATGAGGATGTTGATCAAGAAACAAAAAAGGCAAAAATCCAAGAGAAAGATTCTGAAGAAACAAGCAGTGCCTCCCCCATCAACCCCTGGATGGATATAGAAGATTATTTCAATGATACTTATGCTTCTTCATCACCAGTTCCTCCTCCGGAGTACCTGGTGCATAATAGTTCCAAGATGGTGTTCCGGATCATGTCCATGGATCCAATTGGAATATCTCCCCTCGGCAAACTTCCTGTGTACAGGGTAGCCTATTCGGAATGTGATCTCAGCAGCTTCTACCACAGAAAGTTTCTCTACGACAAATTCGCTTTAGCCATAATAGTGAACTCCCGTCGGAACCCGATTGGTTACAAGCTGTTGGAGTACGAGTTGCAAACAAAAAACGAGGAGCTTCTGTATCTAAATGCGAACGTGATGCATGTGGAAGACTCTTTCGTGGACCGGGAATCGCGGGATTATTGCATCGTGATGGGGCATGGTGGCTCGGGCTCCCTCCGATCAATCATGGCCAAACACTTCCCGAACGGCCTTCCAGAGTCATTCATTTCCCTGATCCTGAGATCAGTTCTTGGGGCGGTTTGTTTTCTACATGAGGACAGCGCCATCCACGGGGATATCAGTGCGGGCCATGTTTATGTGCAGAGCGGCCCCAATATCAAAATGGGCTTTGGAGCCACTGTTTATGAACATGGGGTCTTTAATTTGGAGTGCTCGTCATCCTCGGCGTTGCCAGAGACCTACATCTCTCGTTGGGCAGCTGCACCAGAGGTGTACAATCATGAGGGGAAGAACCACGGCAGCACTGAGGAGAGCGACGTTTGGCTGGTAGGAATAACTGCGCTGGAATTGGCTTATGGAGGACTTAGAGTGCCCAACCGTGAAGCCCTTGAGGTGATGGTCAGGGAGATTCACGAGAAGAAAAGACTTCCCAAGAGGTATCCCCCCAGCGGCCAAAGTTTGGATCAGCAGCAGCAGCAGCTCACTCGTGAAGTGGAAGGCAAAGGAAAACATATAATGATAGAGGAAGAAGATTATGGTGATGGCTCATCAGAGGAAAGATCATTTTCCAGGGAATTTGAGAAGATAGTGGCAGAATGTCTGGCTTGGAAGCCTTGGGAAAGGCCAACTGCTAGTACCCTTTTGAATCATGAATTCTTTGTAGTGAAAGGGATGGATGCGCTTGAGCTGGAGTCACACTTTGAGGATGTTTTGATGGACAGACTCCGCAAGTGACTGATATGTATGTATATATGGAGTATATAATAAACTCGTCCAAGCTAATAGTATGGTCGGCAGTACATAATACTTGCTATACATACCCAGAATCTCAGTTGTCTTCTCCCTACACAATTCATTAGTGTTTGTGCAGCCATCCTGTAAAGTAGTTTCTGTTCTTACTTTCTTCAATACATAGAATGCATAGTACTCTTAATTGTAGCCTTATAGTAGTGTGCCACTAGAACCCCTACAAGGCTACAAATAGAGTCAGGCAGTGAGACAGTGGCCATTGTTCTGTACACCGCCCTCAATTCTTGCTCCATATAAAATTCACTTCCTCCCTCATCTAATAAAATTCAATTCTTCGAGTTGCATACATCAAAGTTTTATTGGCCTGCCTTAGCTTGGGTCATGAGAATTTGCATGCATAGCACGGCGACAAACATTAAACACTCTACACGATGTTGGAGAATTAATTAATCGTTTACGAGATGATATGAGAGGATACTTTTATAACTTTGAAGAATAGAAAAAAAAATTATGAAGCTCTGACTAAGAATTCTAAAAACAACAATTTACAATTTACAACTCTCTCTAAGATATATACAACAGTTCTTGGTTATCCTTGTGATTGATTATTGTTGATAGAAAATATGAGGAAGTCTATCGATTTATGGGATCAAAATTAGGTGGGAAAAAGATTGGAGGAAGGTGAGAAAATTTGGAGGAAACTTCAATAGTGGGTGTGAAGAAGGTGTCTTCTAGTGAAACTTCAATAGTGGATGTGAGGATGATTTCTTTGTCAATAAGTCAATGATAAGCTTTGAAGAAGTTTCCTGAATTAAATTCAATCCTTCAATTTTCTTATAATCAAATATGTCGTCGAAATTAAATTCTTCATTTCTCATCTTTTAAGCATATTCTGAACAAGCATTTCAACTATTTCTGAAGAGCTCTAGCTTATCTCGTGTCACCGCTTTTGTTGTTCACTTTGTTTTATCTTTCTTTACGAGTTTTAGCTTTTGTCTTTACACTATGTTCTGTCTCCTCGACATCTTCTGCTATTGAACTTTCTTCTGGCGCTTCGTCATTGCTTCTGAAGGACAACTCTAGTGTAGAGTCTGAATCTTGAACACCTTCATTTGACTTCTTAGACATTGTGGATTTTTAAATATTTTTTATTATCATATTTTTGTGAAACTCCGTGTCCTTGCTAATGATCACTTTTTTCTCCTTATGATCACGTAACATGTATTTGAACTCTTAATTTTCATAACTAATGAAAATGCATGAAATAGTCATCACATCAAAATTTTGTTTGCACTCTTTTGATACATGTACATATGATGGATTACCAAATACCCTAAAATGAAGCATGTAGTATCTTAGCTTGCATGTCCAAAGTCTCTCTGGTACATTAAATTGAGCACTATTGAAGATGATTTGTTGAACATGCTCCAAACACATCCCATGATAGTTCGACGTATTGTTTCAACAAACCAGCTCGTTGAGGGGTGCATGTATCGAACTTTTCCCGTCGAATGTCATATGCTCTGCAATTGGGATCAAACAAGATTTGTTGATAGCGGGCGCCGCCGCATGCATGACAATGGGTCAAATGGGGTCGAGCGTGACATTAGTGTATTCTATCTAGTCCATGCAGATAATTTTTTTTAATCGAAAATATGTTATTTAATGTCGGTTTATGTGATGTACATCTACTAATTTTAGATCTAGTTTTCAATCCATTAAGACAATTCTAAATAGTAATTTGGGTCCTATACCGACGTTTCATCTTTCAGGTGTCTGGTTGATAATTCATCTATCAACATAAAATCTATTTGCACACAAAATTTGTACACACTTAACACAAATTTGTACGTAATTGTTTGTGCACACAGACAATGTGTACACTCCTAGTTATCTGTATACATAAACAATTTCATATAAATGTGTATTAATTGTGTACAATTTTTTTGTGCATCAAGAATCGTTGTAATTTTCTTAATTAGAAGGGTCACTGTCGTACTCGTTCACGACCAAATTATGGCCCGTCAAATGGATCCGTGTATGTGCCACCGAGTATATTTGCCAATAGGGGTGAGCATGGGACGGTACTGGACAATTATTTAAAAAAACTTGTCCCGTTCCAAAGTGCGGTTCTTTTAAAAATCAAAGAACCGGTACCGTCCTGAATATATAGTGTCCCGTCCTTACCAATTTTCGGTACGGTTTGATACGGTTCTTCGGTACTATTCGATTCCTAAATAATTAACTCCTACAAAGTCAAAAATATTTTAAGTTTTAGCATTAATAAGTAACTATACAAAAATTGAAGAGAAGAGACGTACTGCAATATTAAAATCAAACATAACTGAAATACAAAACAAATAGTCAAAACTATAATAAAGAAATGTAACATTCAACTAAAAATTGAAAGTAATAGTCAAACTGAAAAAACAAAAAGTGTGTCCTCACATGACAAATGTAATATAATATACGTAGTACGTAGTATAATCTTTGAGTAAAGCTGGGTTCTTTAAAATGTCATACGGTTTTATATACGGAGTATATATATACATTATTTTATATAGCCAATTTTTTGGGACGATACGGGACAATTCGGTTCAATGCGGTTCGGGATGGTTTTTGGACGATTCTCACTTAAGAACCGGTACTGTGCTATATTATTAAAAAAAAAGTTGGTATGGTATGGTGCAGTGTTATATTTTTTCTATTTTGTTCGATTCTGATATAGTACAGGAGGATTCTCTGTACAAACCAGAAATCCCTATCCGCGCTCGGCCCTAATATTTGGTGCGTTAGGACCTATGTTGCACCGATACCTCACCCTGATGCCGTATCCGCATATCCAATATGTATCCGTATCCGATACTCACCGATATGCGTCTTGTACGTATTGGGTCCGTATCCGTAATTTAACAAAAGTATCGGGCTTAATTTTAAAAATACCGATACTTCCGATACCCGTATCCGTGAACCGATTTGCGTATCTGACCCTGTAACCCTCATTTCATACACGACATGATGAAAATTTAGCAGCCGTCCAAGCGACCACAAGATGCAGAACATTGATAAAGATGATTTCGGGAGTACGGAAAATAATGGAATACTATAATTTTTCATTTCATCGCTTAATGAGCTTTAATTGAAACATGATTTAGATGTAAATGTAAATAGAGAAAAAAAGTGTTGTTTGAATTTAAATCAAAATATCTACTTTAGTTTCTTTAGCCTAATCCTTTGAAATTTTATTATAATATTTAATTTTTTGTACTATTATTATTTCATTTATGAACTCCTGAATTATATATATTTGCAAATTATACCTTATATTTTTATTATTTATAAATATACCCCGTACCCGTATCCTATAAATTTTTAAATTGCGGTAATTTTTAAATTTCTGTATCTCCCTACCGTATTTGCTTATAGACATATAGGCTTATTCTATTTACACCTATGTTTAAAAAACCGACCCGACTCGGCCGGGTTGACCCGGAATCCGGTGACCCGGACAAAAATCCGGTTCGATTTCTTCAAAACCCGAAAATGGTCAAAAACCAGAAAAACCCGGCTGACCCAAAAAAACCCGATCCGGACCCGAACCCAAGAAACCCGAAAAACCCGGTTTTCGTTCTTTTTCCAAAAAAATAATTTCTTTTTAATTTTAATGCATTTTTTAAACCAATAAAATTGCAATTTCAATTCCCTAAAAAGAAAAACTATGTAATATATTAATATATTTATTTCAGAATGAAAATCATGCCAAATTAGAATATACATGTACAATACTAATAAAAATATATACTAATTATATGTTTATTATTATTATATAGATGTATAATAGTTGACCGGTTTTCCGGATTTGACCGGGTTGATCCTCTGGGTCCAGGTTGACCCGTGACCCAGTCCAGGATGACCGGGTCCCTCACCGGTTTTTACGACATAGATTTACACTGCTCGCCCAAGATGAAGCATTCGCCAGATTTTTGTGTTCCCCCACTTTCTCACGCTAAAGATCATCTTTTTCTTGCTAAGGCATTCATCTCATCCCACAAATTTTCGCCGCCTTATACAAATTAAATATTTTCCAGGTAAATCATTTGTAAATGTATCAATTGTTGCTGCAAATCATAGGGGTGTAATTAACTTTATGGGAGCTTATGCTGTTTACTTCCCGTGCTATGGACTTTTTCTTTTATGGAATCAAATGCGGAATCTCTTGATGATTTTTACGCGTTCTTTAATCATCCGTGCTGTTGCTTATGAAAATCAGTTAACTTGATCTTTGAACTTTCAGTTACGGACTTACGGCAGTAGTACAGATCTGTAGACTGTGGGTTGGGGTATATTTTGAATTTTGTGAATTAGATGTTGGAGCGTTTTGTTATTTTTGGTCTTCTTTTTCCTTTCACTCTTAGGTTGTTAGAATGATATTGTCCCACACTGCTTTAGGGGGTTCTTTGGAGTTTCCTGACTTGCAACCTGGTTCTTGGCTTCTTGTAGAAGTGCAATACACATCATTTTTATGCTTTATTTAGCTGAATTTTAAGTTTGTAAGCACCATATTTATAAAATTTTAACTATTAAATCTTATTTAGAAAAATGACATTGTTTTGGTAGTATTTGGCAAATCTGCCTTGTGATAAAGCAACACCACACACTTCCATTTTTTTTTAAGAAAACCCACTTCCACTAGTCACTCTTCTTCTTTTTTTCGTCATTCAGTCGGACTGTAAGTTCATCTTACCTGGAGAAGATGGCCGCGCCTCTACCATTAAGTGCAACTTCTAGCTCTTCGGCGTTGGACTCTCATTGCGAGCTTCTTAAAATGGTTGGTGATTATTGATTCCGTTGTCCACCCTTCTTATTGGGGGCTTTTTTATTTTCTAGGCGTATGGTTTAGACGCGAGAAGTAATGCTTATCTAACTAATTACAGCATTGGCGGTGGAACAGGTGAGGAGTCACGAGGTTGCAATTGCGGAGCTCAATAGCATCTCTGCTTCACGAGTATGCAATCACTTTTGTTTATTCAGTCTTACTTTTTGCTCTAGCCTGGTTTTGCGTACAATGCCCAACTTGGTGCTTGAGTTCCTCTGTCAGTTGCCCCATATTTTTTCACACCATTGTTTAAGATGGGTTTCTTCATCGTTGACATCGTCAACCACTTTTTTCGCAAGATGAAACATTGGGTACAAATTTCTACCTTAATTCAAGGGTGTGAGGGATTGGATATGTATAAGCTTTAGAAGTTGGAACTTCTAGAACCTAGATTAGTGTGCCTGCAGTATTGCAGAAGAATATCTGAGGAAGGGCAGGTCAAGCTAAACTCTTGAGTGGGATGACAGTTTTCCCTTGATGTCAACTCCAACATCGTTAGCATAATTGGACCTTATCATTATATAGTTTTGTTGGTGACAGCGAATGTAGAAACTATAAACTTATCAAAAATCTTAGATATAGTTATAGTAGCATTAAGGTATGACATTGTAGAGCTGCTGACGTAGTTATGATTAGCAGTTAATTGGCAGTATTTCTGTACATATCCACCACCACGTCATGTTTTTCGGTACTGTTCATGTACCAATGATGTGAAATACTTAATGCTTGAATACTTGATAATCATAAAACAGGGCAAAAGTACCTAGGGCTTAGGCAGTTAGGCAAGAGGTAAGTTATATAGTTACTACCTAGTATGATACTGCATGGCCCCGTTGTGTTTGTGGTAACAGTGTCATCTGTCTACTCTACATTCTCTCAATGTAGTTGCTGTTTGGAAGGTGTATAAACTTGGAAAATCATAGGAATTAAACGTGAATCACCACCCTAAGTGCTAGGGAGCAATGCATCCCATATGTGGTAGATAGCCATTGCTAGGATGTCCCACAGTACATGACTGCATGCATTTGTTTTCAACTGTTAAACGAATGTGCATAGTTTATACAATGTTTCACATTATATCATGTTTGAATGCTAGGTTGTCTACAAGAAAAACGGGAACCTTTTTTTCCGCACAAATGCTCAGAAAGCAACTTTAGATGAGCAAAGTAAGGATATATCCAACCTGAGCCATTACTCCATGAACCTTGTGTGTGTGTGTGTGAGAACCTTTATAACTATGGTGGATTGAGTTCTTAATTGCATCTCTCATGTATACTATGTTGATATTGTGCAGAGCAATTGGAGATGGCCAAAGCTAAGCTACAGAAGTTAACTCTGACTTGATACTATCTAATGTTCTTTCACGTTCAGTTGTAGCCAAGTGAACTGTTTATTTCATGAGCAAAAAGTTCCAATGCTTATTTGAAATGTTTTGAAACCAGTCTCTGTTTTCATATCCTGGCGTCAAGTGATGTGTAAATCGATAGAGTACTATGATGATAACTTTTGCAATGATATCAGCGTAATGAAACATGAAATTTATTGTTTGGGTTCCGCATTTCTTTCTCAGCAATAATCTCCACATAAATAAAACGAATTGAAAAAGGTTTTGCAAATTTGTTGTTAAATTTTAGCTGCTCACACAATTTTGGGATATCTATATATGAGAAAAAACAGGGCTTTTATTTGCTTTGCTTTGGCTAGTTTCTTGATCAACACAAGTGCAATAGTTAGCAGAGCTGCATAAACTGGATCAGGCAACTTCTGTGTCACCTTACCAACATAAGGGATGCCCTCCGTTTTTTTCCTTGTAATTCGTGCCACTCTTGGTGCCAGAGCAAAATAAATCATCAAGCCTTGACTGACAGTGAAGACTGTTTCTTTTGTCAACTGCCTAATGAAACTGAGAAACTCATTGCGGCTGAGTTCTCCGTCTAGGTTGAGATCACATTTCTAGGAAATTACAAATTATGGTTTGATCAGCCAGCAATGTAAAGATATGCAATAAATATGCTATTAGGAACATACCTTTATCAAATCCCTGACTTGTTGCTTTGAAGGAGGATCAAAATGTGGTGCAGGCAAGTGTTTATTAATCCGGCTTGAAGAAATAAAAAGGGAAACTGGATCAGTGTTATCCTCAGAAGATGGCACCCAGCAAAGTAAAACTTGAAACACTTGAATCTATCTTACTTGTAGATGAGCAGCACGGCAATGTAAAGATCTTCAAAGGTCAGATTCAGTCTCCCAGCTTCATTTTTTATACGGTCAAAAACCTTGTCAGATATTAATTGGACTTGCCTAGCTCTCCACTCCTTGTAACCTGCAATCAGATAGCTCAGTTTTGTGTTGACTAAACAAACCATTCAATTAATTTCTATGTTGAACTTGGAAAATGGAATGGATGTGGCGTTTGTAGCGTATTACCTGAGTATTTGCCAAGAATCAGACCCATTTTAGTTTTAGAAAGCTATTTTTTGTCTTCTCCTACTAACCAGAAACTTAGAAAAGTGCTGATATTTAACTTGTTATGGAGCCGGCAGGTGAGGTTAGTTTCAAGATTTGGTACCTTGATATGGTCCTTAGCAAGTTTTAAATGAATATATCATATATGGTAGTAGTGGTTCAACTGGCCATGTTTTGTTTTTGGTTTCTATTGTACTGTGCTCTGCATTGTATTCTCAAACCTTAAAAGAAATGGGCCTTGTGTATGGAGAGAATCTGCAGTCAAGCCTCTTGTATCCCTGGTTGTGCTAAAAAGCAGACCCGGACATTCTGTGGCAAATCAACGGACGAGAACAGAAACACTTATTTGAGCGGTCTGATGGATGGCGACAATCCGGGGGCAATCAAGGCTGTAGACGGACAGCCTCACGACTGCTCTGCTATAGTGCACAGTTGAGGATCTAAAAAATCCTCATTTTTATTTTTCTGTATCTTTCATTTTTACCCTAATTTTTTCACAAAGAGTTTTTCCAGTAAATGATTGAATTAATGACATATAAAGGATAAAACATATGTATGGTGGAATTAAGCTAACAAGAAAGAAAGAATATAATGATAAAAAAGAAAATGACAAAAAAATGTCCAAGAAGGAAATTTTACAATAAAACTCTCCTAACGGACTCTTAAATAGAATACATAATTATGGAAAAGAAATAAAAACAAAACGACGAAAAGAGAAATTAAAAGTGTCTAGGGATAAAATAAAGGAAGAAAAATACCAGAGAGAAAAAAGAAAAATGAAACGTGTGACTATTTTGAGAAGATTTGTGGAAGATGAAAAACTTGCTATAGTAGGTCATCAACCGGTTGGATATCAATGAAGAAGATGAGAAACAAAGATGAGATGCATTCCGAGATTATGTAAGATTGAGATTATTCTGATAAGACCGATGAAATGTGCGATGAACGTGAGATTTTGACTCTGTTACATAATATTTGAACATTTTTACTTCGCTTGCAAAATTGTGCAATAATAAATAAGTAAGATTAAATTTATTTTTCTGGTTAGAGTGACTGGAGTAACAATAGATGATTATTTTTAATTAATTTCATATAATTTTTCTTTATTTTATTAATAAAATATATTTTATAAACGAACTCTTGAACTCAATAAAAAACAAACCGGTGTATAGTAGTTGATTGTTTGTAACCATAATATAGCAACCTTTATTTATAACCAAATGAACTATCTTGTCCCAATATGGCATGATTTTTATGCCTCACTCCCAAATAAGAGTTGTGTGCTCGACGAGTCATGATTTTTACAAGTGCATTTCACAATTTTTACGTATAAAACAAAACTTCCTAGAACATTTTGAGTTTCTATATTCAAGTTGGGGTAATTAATAATGTAATTAGTATCCTAATAGGTTTTGCCTGTCATTATTCTTGCAGTAATAACATAGAAACAACCCAAGAAAGTAATCCTCTCACAGCACGAAAAAAAAACAACCTAGGTGGCGGCGGCAATCGAATCTATGCAGTGGAGGGTAGTGATGGACCCGGGCCGGTTCCGGTTCGGGCCTGAGCCCGGACGGGCCTTTTTTTGGGAACAAGGGAACCGGAACCGGCCCGGGTGGTTGGCGGTTCTGGGTTGGGTCGGGCCACCCGGCGGTTTACCGGGCCGGTCCGATCCGGTTCTGGGCTTTTTTTTGTTGATTCTTAAATTGATGTACACAATAATATAAAAAAATTCAAGTATATTTATTTCAAATAAGAAGTACAATTGAGAATTGGGATGAATTTAATAAATGTAATAAATTTTGTAATAAATAATCAATCGGAACCTCTGCCTGCGGTTGTTTCCTCCATAAAGTGGCGGGTGGGAGCGATGCTCATTTCTTGAGTTCTTCGTTGGGCCTTCAACCAATCGTGGAAGCAAACTAGCGTCTCAAGAGAGCTCGGGCTCAATCTCGTTCTATAATCGGTTAGGACGTTGCCGACCGCACTAAATTCTTGTTCCACGGCAACTGTTGATATCGGCATTGCTGGCACTTGCTTAGCCATGTTTGATAAAATTGGGAACGTTCTTTCATTATCCTTCCACCACTTAAGAACGTCAACATCATCAACTTCATAATCAACATTCAATGTTAGATACAAAGAAACCTCGTTAACTGATCGAGCTTTGTTCATTAGCGGGAGTTGCTTTACTTTTTTTCAAAAGAGAACCAAATGCAGATTTTAAAAGTGATTTTCCTTTAGATGAAGAAGATGTTCGCGGCAGGGGAGGGGGTGCATTGCCATTACCATATTGTGCATAAAATTCATTATACAATTGATGAAATAAATTACTAACCTTGTTAAATTCTTGTTTAGGGTCTATGGGATTATCATCGAACTCTTGAGTTGGAAAAAAAGAAGCATAATAGTAATTTATACAAGTTCCCAAGTAAGCAAGTTTATAACGAGGATCAAGAATAAATGCAATACCATATATATGCGGAATATGTGAATAATATTTTATAAACTTTTGTTTCATGAAATCACAAAAATAACTAACGTAAGCGGCATCGGCAAATTCACATAAAGCGTCGGCGAGATTAACAGCTTCAACAAAAAATTTGTTTGCGGTAGGTTTATAAACATGACTAAAAGTTTGAGTTGCATTATTAAAATATACCAAAATATTAACAATTTTTTCTCAAGTGTCGATGTCAGCCGGGTTTATAATATAGTTACAAGATTGTCTTAAAAAAGCAGGAAAATGATCTTTATATCTAATAAGTACTTTAATTAAGTTATAAGTATTATTCCAACGAATAGACAAATCTTTAGGAAAAGCAAAATAATTGACACGCCTATCCTTCAAATATTGCCGCCATTGCATTTTTAGTGGAGTATTAGCCCAAATCAATTTAAATCCCCCCTTCACTACCTCCAAAGCATTTCCCAATGCCGCTAACCCATCTTGTACACACAAATTTAGAATATTACATGCACAACGTTGATGAAAAAACCTACCCATCAATGTAGAAGCACCACACAATTCACGCAATCTAGGTATAGCAGCAGTATTATTACTAGCATTATCAAAACCTACAGCAAACACCTTATCAATCAAATTATACTCAATTAAAATACGCTCAATGAGAAGATAAATATTATTAGCAGTGTGACGATCATTAAATTCACGAAAAGCAAGAACACATTTAGGCATATTCCAATCATCATCAATATAATATGCAGTAAGACCCAAATAATATAAATGATGATAAGTATCCTCCCATATATCGCTACAAATACTAACACGTCCATCAAAGTTTGCGAAAAATGTTTGTGATTTTTCTTTTTCCAAGTTATATTGCCTTATAACTTCTTTTTTAATCGTTTTGCGACTATAATTTCTAAATTAAGGATTTAAAGTACCTTGAGCATAATCTCTTAAAGCAAGAATTTGGGGGAAAATATAAGGTAAATTTTCTTCAACAATTAAATGAGACATACCAGTCAAATGTTTTTGATCATCATAGGAGAAATTACCAAAGGGTTGAGAATTTGCAAACCTCGATATTTGTGTTTGCTTCTCATTACCTTTGTCTATTTCTCATACTCCCGTATCCGCCTGCAGTTCCCAAGCTATACTCTTTCTTGCAATGATTGCAACTTGCGTACCATTTATCGGTATTTTTGTCTTTCCTTTTTGTAAAATTGTTTTCAATAATAGGAGATTTAGATTTCTTACAAATTTGGGATGAACCGCCCTCGTCCTTCCTCCAACTCTTGCTCATCATCTGGGGTGCCGTCCCCCCCCCTCGTCCTCCTCCGCATCCTCATCTCGAGCTCATATTCGTCAATGGTTGTCGGGAATTGTTGTTCTTGTGCAAAGCGTGGATCATTTTGGGACAATAGGTTTTGTAGTTGGTCGTCAGACATCGCCATATCATCTCTCCGTTGGTAATCCGTTTCAAAATCATCTTGACTTTGAAAAGAAGACTCGGCCCGCGCTTTACCTTTGCCTTTGCGTGAATTAGGACGAGTCGTCGCAATATCCCTCTTCCGGTTGCGTTGGAGATTACTCATATCTACAGAATGTCTACCACGGTCCATCTTTAAAATTAAACAAATATTAAATAATATCAAATATTTTATATGAGTACAATAGTAATAATAAAATGTGACTAAGAAAATTATAGCAAATTCGAACTAAAATATGAGTATATCAAATGTAACAATTTTTTCCCTTGAAAAAAAATGAACTACTTCTAATTAATACTTTAATGACAAATGTACCAATTAACTAATATTAATATGGGAAATGTAACAAGTAACTATTTTTTTTACTATAAAGAGAAATGTAGAGAAATGTAACAATTAACTAGTTTTTTTTTTCTTTAAAGAGAAATGTAATAAGTAACTAGTTTTTTTACTTTAATAAGAAATGTACCAATTAATTAATATTAATATGAGAAATGTAAAAATTAACTAGTTTTTTTACTTTAATGAGAAATGTACCAATTAACTAATATTAATATGAGAAATGTAACAATTAACTAGTTTTTTTACTTTAATGAGAAATGTACCAATTAACTAATATTAATATGAGAAATGTAACAATTAACTATTTTTTTTCTTTAAAGAGAAATGTAACAATTAACTATTTTTTTTTCTTTAAATAGAAATGTAACAATTACCTAGTTTTTTTTTTACTTTAATGAGAAATGTACCAATTAACTAATAGGAAAATGAGAAATGTAACAATTAACTACTTTTTATAGTTTAAAGATAAATGTAGAAAAATTAACTAATATTAATATGAGATATGTAACAAGTAACTAATTTTTTTTCTTTAAAGAGAAATGTAGAGAAATGTAACAATTAACTAATTTAATAGAAAAATGAGAAGTGTAACAATTAACTAGTTTTATAAAATGTATGAATGTGTATAAGTATACATAGTATATATAATGTGTAAATATATTATAAGTAATATATAATATAATGTTTATAGTATATAATATATAAGTATATTACTATAAGATGAGTAATACACTTATACTTAATACTCTAATATATATATATATATATATATATATATATATATATATATATTAACTAAATGTAATATGTAAATATAAGTAAATAACAATAGTATAGATAATAACTAAATATCAAGTAAATATGAATGTGTATAAGTATATATACTATATATAATGTGTAAATATATTATAAGTAATATATAATATAATGTTTATAGCATATAATATATAAGTATATTACTATAAGATGAGTAATACACTTATACTTAATACTTTAATATATATATATATAAGTATATATTAACTAAATGTAATATGTAAATATAAGTAAACAACAATAAGTATAGATAATAACTAAATATCAAGTAAATATTAAGTAGATAACTAGTATATATTAAGTAGATAATAAATAGTAGTAATATAATATATGTATTTATAAGTAGATAATTAATACTCCCTCTTTCCCTAAATTTACTTCCATTTCGCTTTTCGAGAGTCAACTTAAATCACTCTTGAACTCTTACTTTTTGTATCAAAACTTTATGAAAATTGATTTTTTTTGTGCAGGCTTTGTAGCGGGTTTAATGTAGTTTCTGAATATGTAAATTTTATTTACTAAAAATAATCCGAGTTTTCACAGGGATCATTTAACTTTATCGTCGGTCAACCTTCGTAATCCGCAATCGGAAGAACATTCAGGGACGGAGGGAGTATATAAGTAGATATAATAATTATATAAATAATATATATGTAGAAAGAATTGGAGAAGATGAATATGATTGAATATGAGAGAATAGACACTGACATGGGAGTTGTCAGTGGTTTCGGAGGTGGTCATGGACCTGTGTCGGCTAGGGTTACGACTTACGCGGCCTGATTGTCCGATGCTTGATTTGGCTATTTTGGCTTTGGTGGCAAACTTGGCTTGCAGTTGGGTAGTTGGGGATCGGTGAGGTTGTTTTGGCCGCCTCAGGTAGTGGAGAAAGAAGATGGTACGTGAATGATTCGCCCCCCTCCTGAACCGCCGCCACAATGAAACTGCTTGACTAGGGTCTGGAAGATGACGTTTGAAGAATGGGTCTGCTGTTCCACTAGCTAAAGTTTATTGATTTTTCCTATGTTCTGTTTGGTAATCTTTATTTTTTTTATTAGGTCAAACAATAAGGGTGGTAGACTAGTAGGTTCTTAGTTTGGCTTACTTTAGTTGCTTGATTTCTATTTAGAGGCAATCAGACCGACCCAACCATTAATAGCCTAAAAAATCTCACATTTTCAACGATTAGTCTCGCTCTTTTTAGGGTGGATTATTCTATGTCTGATAAAAGAGTGAGGGGCGGTGGGCCATAGTTACTTTATTGTTTGTAATTCTCCTGATTGTACCGCCTCTCAGTTTCACACCGTGAATTGTAATTTAATATAATATTTCAGTTTCCTTTAAAAAAGAACTTTTTGAGTTTCTATGCAAAATTATGCATTAACATGGTTAATTGAAGTCAAAATGATTTTCAATCACAAAATTTTCAAAAGCAATTGTAAAATTAAGAGGCCCTATTAATTAGACATTAATCCTTTTTTTTTATTTAAGTAAATTTGACATATTTCAATTGTATGCGATACTTTAGGCGAATTATTACAGAAATAGTTGGCGACATTTCACCAAACAAAGTTTTAACTTTTAAAGTTTTAAGCATAAATAAACTAGTTGTTTGAAACATTAATGTTTAGTGAATTAGTGGATGGAAATATGTGATGGGTATAAGTAGTGCTTCAACATCAATATGTTTTTTTGCAAATATGTTAATGGAATTTTAAAATGCTTATACTTTTAGTTAAAAAAAGAAATTAAAACTTGTGCATATGTCACTTCTTCTTCCACGTTCATTTCCTGGTCCCTAAAAGTTCAAATATCATGTAATAGTTCCAAAATAACTCAACTAATACTAATCTGAAAACGAAAATTAATCTTGATATACGTAGTATATTGTAAGTATGCGTGAGGAGTTTAATTGGGGCCTTTTGACAAGGATGAGTTTGTTTCTTTTTAACCGTTTCTTCCGTTCTTCTGCAAAAGGTCGTCCTTTTTACTCCTTTCTGTTTCACGTACTTGAGCTAGTACGTACCATATTTGTAGTTTGTTCTGAGGTGTCTGTAACTTATTAGACAACATAGTACAGGCCGAGTCAAAGCTAAGAAAGCATAAACTTTGTGTTCCTAAAAAGAAATCTTTATAGAAAGCGATGGCTGGCGGCTATTGATGTTGTGATTCCACTTTGGCAGAAGCTGGTGTACTTACTAGCTGAAGATTTGTGTCCCCTCCAAACAGTATCTTCTCCCTGAAAGAAGAGGAGGAGAAGGAAAAGAAGCTGAGCATGGACATGGAGCTTCAGCAGCAGCAGAATATTGAAATGGAACAGTGCTATAATGAGAGTGATAATCCCTCCCATTTTACCCAAGATTGGGGCTTCTTATTGCACCACCAAACTCTTCCTGCAACTTCACTGCCTGAAACACCATACCCACATCTACAAACAACACCAGATCTTCTTAGCATGTTCCCTTTGCCATCTTCTTTGATCCCAAACCCACATTCCATTCCCCTTTCTAACAACGCCTACCAGGAATCCTCAGCCTTCTTCACTTCATTAGGTCTCTTTGGGGACGATGTAACATCCCCAGATTCAACTGTTGTTCATCGTCATGACGACCCTTCTGTGTTTACCTCTTTACTTCAGGGAGCCTATGGCTTTGGTTGCTCAAGTGGTAGTAGCTCTCTGTTTGGTGAAATGGATGATAAATACCAGGTACTGGATTATGGTTCTTTCCACCAAGGTATGGACGGAAGTGGTTTTGTTCACACAGGCTTTGAGTTTAATGCTACCATGGAAGGTTTGGGCAAAAAGATAGGCAGCGGTAATAGTAAGGACGCTAAGCATTTTGCCTTGGAGAAGCAAAGGAGAGTCCAATTCAAGGACAAGTTCCAAGCGTTAAGGAAGCTGATTCCTAATCCCACAAAGGTATTCCTATGCTCCCTTATTGTACATGGACGTTACATAACACATTAACACTGCACCCCCCCCACCCACCCACCTTCAACAGTTTCTGTACAAATGAAAAATAATAGTAATAGTATGGCAGTAGTAACTAGTAAGTAGTAACAGCAGAATAGTAGCAAAATCCATCCATGTCACACGAAACACCGATTGCTACTAGAGGCGTTGTTGCAGATGGTAGCTACTATATACTATCCCGTGGAAGGTCGGATGCTAGGGTGTTGCACCTCCTCTCACGGTGGGTGCTACTGTCCTGCATCCCCACTGCCATGATCAGAGATAGTTGTAATAGGATTACAAAAGTGAGAATAAATCCTTCATTTTTAATATGTATCTTTCTCTACTTAAAATCATGTATACTTCCTCCAATCTTATTTTTGTATGATTATGTAGCAGTACGCATTATTTATATGTATCTGTCTCTACTTGAGGATCTTGCGTCCATCATTGGCCATCCTTATTTCTAAAATTTTATTGTGGGATCTATAATTTCCAATTTGTTGGAGCAACTTGTAAATCACCATTTGGTCAAAGTATTCTTGTAGTTCAAATCTATATAAGTATGTTTTTAAATTAAAATTGGAACTAATTTATGTTTGATGACAAAACTGTATTAGTAGAAGTATTTGTTTCAATTTTGTTGCAAAGAATCACTAGACAACCATAACAACATTACTCCAGTACCGCAAAGGCTCCCACCTACATTGGGGTAAGGGGAGTCGGATGTACGCAACATTACCCATGTATTGAAGCACAAAAAGACTGTTTTAGGATGACCATGATGAAAACTGTCGAAAATTGCATTGACTGGCTGTTGTTTACAACAAAGAAGCGTTGGCCATTTTTCTTTATTCCATCATACCCTAAGCCAAAAAAATAGCGAGTCTTTGGTTCCATTGGAAATGATAGAAATAAAGAATCGCATTGACAGTTCTGAAAATTTTGGCTACTTGGCTAATGACATTACATTTTTATAAATGAAGAATGATAGGGCATCAATTGTGGGGGATGCTATTGTCTACATAAATGACCTCAGGAACAGAGTGGCAAAGCTTGAGGCTGTTATAGAGCAGAAGAGAAACATCAGGGAGAAGATGCAGAGGCAGATCACATCAGATGGCGTAGATGGGAAGTTAGAGGATGATATGGACCAACCTTACAATGTCAATATCGGATCATCTTCAATGAGATCCAGTTTCTGGTTCCAGAAACAATCCAAGAATGCAGAAGTCGATGTTCGTGTAATGGCAGGTGAAGTTACAGTGAAAATTGTCCAGGAGAAGGGGAGCAACTGCCTCCTCCCAGTTTCAGGTGTTCTTGATGAGCTGCACCTTGATCTGCACCATATTGCTGGAGGGATAATTGGTGATCACTATAAATTCCTGTTCAACTACAAGGTTTCATGTTTTTCATGCACCATTTTTTTAAGTTCTCCATCTAATGCTACACTACATAATGCTTCCCTCAAACATAAAGTTCCTATTTTGACTTTTACTCTCATTAACTCTTACAACTACATCATCATCATTATCATTTACCCCAGTGCCGCAAAGGTGCAGGGGTCGGATGTACGCAGTCTTACCCCTGTACTAAAGCACAAAGAGACTGTTTCCGAATGACCCATAATGAAAATCGCTTCCAAAATTGCATGGACCGAATGACCCATAATGAAAATCGCTTCCAAAATTGCATGGACTGACTACTGCTTCATAACAAAGAAAGAGCAGACAATTTGGTGAGCCATTTTGCTTTATTCCATCATATTCTCAAGCCAAAAAATAATGAATCTTTGGATCCATTGCAAATGATGGAAAAAACTCTTACAACTACATATGTTATAAAATTTAATTCTATAATGTATATTAAAACAAACTGTTATAAGAGTATATTCAAATCAAATTAATACGGAGTATAATTTTGAATAAGTAAACGTCAAAGTTAAGAACTTTGACTCGAAAAGTCAAGGTAGGAATTTAATTTTTTGGATGGAGGGAATGTGTTGGAATAAAGCAAAATGACTTATTAAACTGTCCGCGCTTCTTTGTTATAAAGCCGCAGTCAATCCATGAATTTTCAGTGCAATTTTTACTATGGGTCATCCGGAAACAGTCTCTCTGTGCTTTAGTACAAAGGTAAGACTGCGTATATCCGATCCCCCTTACCCCACCGAAGGTGTGGGAGCCTTTGCGGCACTGGGGTAATGATGATGATGAGGGGAATGGGTAAAATAAATGGTTTCTTGTTTTACCCTCTTGCAGATCTTTGAAGGTACTACATTGTATGCTAGTTCCATAGCCAAAAAGCTCATTGAGGCTGTGGAGAAATCAGTACACACCCATTTTGCCTGTAGCTAATGAAATGATGTCCTACAACTTCAGGTAATTTAGTCTGGTAATTAGATTATAGATTGGTTTTCAAATACATCCTCTAAATTTGTAATTAGATTGTGCTTAGTGATCAACCTTTTGGAATCGTTCTTAATTAACTATTCCTAAAGACTGATGAATTTATAGCCTTATTCCATGATTGCAGATTTTTCTGGAAAAGTATCAACCTTCATTTACCATGGCGGAAAAAGAGATGATGCTTTTCTTATTCTTATTGCAGGCATATCTAAAAGGGTGAATTTGTATAAGTGAATCAAGAGATCTTTTTAAATTTAAACTGCATCACTTTTTATCAGTACCCTAAATACTGTTAATTATATCAAACAGTGCTATCGTTAATCATAATGTGATTTAAAAAATGCGTCAAACCCCCATGTGTTATAATTAATCATGCGCCAAACCCCCTCCAAGAACAAATATAATTTCCAAAAAAAAAAAGAAAAATAATTAGTTGTTTTGTATAATTTAGAAATTTTGACAAAGTTACTTGCATATTCAATCATATTATTAAAAAAAGTGATTTCAAAATTGTAAAATTTGTTTTTGGAGGGGTTTTTGCGCATGATTAATTATAACACAGGGGAGTTTGACGCATTTTTTAAATCACACGGGACTAATGCGTCGAATTTATGTTTCACGAAAGGGTTTGGTGCATTAAACCCGTTCAATGTTCTAGCAAAAGTCAGTTAACTTGGCGGTCCAATAATTATATGCAAACAATTAATCCAATAATCAATATTGCCTAATTCATGTCAGACCGGTCAGTTGCACTGATGCAAAAGGATATCATCCATCAGACATGACATAATTGCAATCAACTCCAGATGTCCTAACCAAAGCGTTGGATTAACTAGATAGTATCTAGTTGCAAATCAGCCCGCTCACTCAAATTTCAAATGGCTAAATGAGCGCAAACAAAACATTTTTTCCTACACTTGGGAGTCGAAAACATATCAATATCAACAGTTATACACTTATACTACCGTTTATACGTTTTGCCCACTGAAAGTTACTACTTACTAGTTCTAACTCTATTCATAGACATTCAGATATAAGTTTGTGGCAACTTTTAGTACACCTTACATCGAAACATAGTTGTTCATGCAACAGCGAAGGAGATACTATTTGTCCTTGTCATGTCCCTGCACACGTACTCATGTAATGTTGGAAATCATTCAGCCATCCTGGTAAGAAAACGTGTCACCTTCTATCACGTCGCCCTTGGTTTTATGGGATGTATAATATGATATCAATGGCCATTTTCCCACTAGCATACTTCCACTTCTTATGAACCATTCAAATCTCAATCCAACAGTCACGATCCCATAGCAGGTTGGCACTCAAGCCCGCAAGATATTCCACTAGACTCAGGGAGGAAACGGGAAACAAATGAAGACATAAAAGCATAAGTAGGGTCATAAGTTATGCATTCAAAACAACACAAAGCATGAAGACTTTGTCCATTATAAACCAAACAATTACGGAGTACAACTCAAGACATGTCCAAGAAAGATTGTGAAGTGTCAGGTAGAATTACAACTGTGAATATATCAGAAGCAGGTTCTGCCATATGGCAGTGACACAGTGTGCCTTGACACGTCCAAGAAATCCATTGAGTGGCCAAGCAGGCCCCACATTTGAATTGGCGGTGGCACCAATGGTTCCAATCCAATGCTAGGAAGAGAACCTCAGCTTAAATAGATCAAAGCAACGAGCGTTTACCCTTCTGCATTTCTACTTCTTCACTAAAATGTAAATCACAACGCGCGGGCTGAGAAAATCTGGATGCCACTGCATCTGATCAACACGCCCCACAATGAACTCCTCTGAGACTGCTTCCAAGAAGTATTCAAGGATGGCATCTGGTACATCAAGAAGAATATGAAAATAATGAATAGTAACTACAATATTTAAAAGTCACACAAGTTTATTAGTTGTGAACTTGCGATACCATTTCTAAGTTCGCCAGATAAAACAATTGTTGTTTCACAGCCACAGAGGTCTACAAGTGTTTCCAACAAATCTACCACTGCTTCTTCACTGTAAATGACATCCGAGCCCAAAACTGCAATGATGAGAGAGATTGAAACATATAAAGGTAGTGTCTTTTTCATCTAGAGAAGAAAAAACATGATACTACGTATAAAATAAGGAGACTTCAATCTCCAGACATCAAGTATGGCCATATCTATCCCACCAATCAAGGTATATTCTATATAGTTTCGATTGATACATCACGTGTGGAAACTCCTTCCTATAGAATAGGCACTAGTGCAAAATAGTTTTTTTCACATTGGTTTAGGTTTCTGGGGTTTTACAATACCAAGTCAAGTCCTTTGTCTCAGCCCAAAAGCTAACTTTAGATATTGAAGAAGCTCGTGTGTGGCTCATAAAGCACTGAGCAGCTTCATTCTCTCTGGTGATAACATTACATTCAATACAATTTCTTATGTCTGACCAAGAAAATCAATATGGCATTTGTACTACGGGTGGACATTTTGGTTTGACTTGAATAGGAGTGGGAGAACGAATACCAAATAATGACTATATTATGTTTTTTTTGTTTTGGATATGTTATTTTTAAGCATATTATGGTTTTATTGAATTAATTAATTACATATGGTTTTATTGAATTAATTAATTACATATGGTTTTATTGAATTAATTAACTACATATGGTTTTATTTATTTTTCCGCTTTCTGTTAAGTTTTATACGGTTTGTCTTTATGTTTACGTATAGTTATATAAACAATGTTGATAAGGTGCAAATAGTGCATTGACAGGTTTGAGGTAGAATATTCTCTGGTTTCAACAAATGGTCGATACATCCATATTTCTGTAGTTCCATAAATAGTTCATGAAATATGTACCATGTATGATTATTTATCTGGAATATATTGATGAATATGAAATTAAATTTCTAGGTATTTAAGTATTTAAATAAAGGTTGCTCATCTTACAATAATCTGTTGAATAATCTGTTGGGATTGGAAAATTCTTCTATTCAATATCAAGAACAGAATTACAATAGAAGGAGCAAACTCTCACACTCAACTATTACAAAAAATCAATCCTCACCAATACACTTATACTCTAAGTGTATTTCCCAACATAATCATGTAAAGTATTACGGAGTACATGACATAAAAGATTATAAAGTATGCATTATTGATGCTTCTTTTATCTGGCATGTGCTGATGAACAAGAAACTGAATCATCAAGGTATTGCAGATTTCAAGAAAGCTAATGCATCTTACTGTAATCAGGGGAAGGATCATGTAGAACAGGTTCGAGTTCATCTCCCCATGTAAGCTCACTCACTGTTGCAGAACCTTTTACATCTCCATACAAATTCGCTGCAACATTTTTCTTCAGTAACCTCAATCTATCGGGGAGATCAGTAAGAATAACCTGAGCACCCAAAAGAGCAGCAATGCACCTGAAGATGATAAAAAGTGAGAAGGGCATCATTAATGTATACAAAATGAAGTTTAGTCTAGTCAGAAAAATCTCTACAATGGAATATCAGGCTAACTTTTAACGGCTTTTTAATGTCAATATGCTGTATTAGATTTTCTTAACTGATAATGATGAAAGCAACATCAACAGTAAATGACAAAATCTTAAGCACCACCAATATTGATTACCCCACCAATCCACAGCCAGAGCCTAATTCAACAACTTTCTTCCCATGTAGCGAAATTTCTCCTGATTCCACAGCATGCTCTATGAACTTTCCAAGAACAACCCCACTGTCCCACATTACCGAACCAGTTACTCCAGGAGTTCCCTATAATAAGATGTATATCTATATAGTTCATAGTTGATCATTCAAGATATTAGTGATTGTAATTGTAATAAAAATATAAATACAGTGTGACTGTGTGAGAACTTCTGCTTAAATTAATACTTAAGAGCTAAAAGTTAGAATCTACCTTTTACTTTTTCTATTACACAAAAGCACTTATTTTACCAAACACTATCGACTTTTACTTTTCGAAATCACTTTTTTCTCAAACACTACCAACTTTTACTATTAATCACTTTTTCCCAAATCACTTTAAAAAGTTCAAAAGCACTTGTGAGTAGTGTTTGCAAACAAAGCCTTACTGGTTCTTATCTTCTACCTGCCATGCAAACGTGTACATCACAACAAATAATTTGATAAAACACCCACATTCTTTCTAGCAAGTTCGTCAACTTTTCTGGTTTGCATAACATGGAGTAGTAAAAAAATTAATAGATCAAAAGAACGAAAAATTATCAAATTACAGTCTTGCATAAACTCCGTAAATGCCAAATAATTATTGATTGAGGTAAAACTCTAGGGGATGATATTGCTTTTGTGCCTCATTTCGAGAATTGAGTGATAAGTATAGGAAATAGAGTGAAATGAGCATGCAACTAACGCTTTTTGAATCAAGGATTACACACTCCATCATTTCATATAGAAACATAATCAAATCTTGATGGCAATCTAATGGACTGGCTTTAGTGTTCCAGAATATTTAAGGAGGGAAGAATGCATACCAAAGAAGAGGGGCACTGAAGAATGGATAGAGAGCGGCCACATGAGTCAAGGAGGAGCTGGAGGGAGGACTGTTTGGCAAAAGAGTTGGGCTTTGAGAGAGTTGGCTGTTGTAATCCCCATAGCAGCATCATCTCCTCTGCTGGCTCTTCACAGTTCACTATCCTCACCTTCCCTTTGTACAGTCCCATCTCTTTCACGATCTGTTCTTCTTCACCGACGTCCTCTTCTGCCAGTTTTCCTTCGTCTCCAACCATCAGTTTGTTTGCTCGATATTCCGCACCGCCCGTGGGCTTCAAGGCCGTGTGGTTGCCTGTAAAATAAAGATAAAGTTAGGAATTTAGAGGACTAAAAACAATAAATGCGAGGGAGCGACACACATAGTACCTCTGCAAGTATCCGGAATAGAGCATCATTCTCTATCTATCAGATTATGATTATAGTCCAATTTACATTCTTCCAACGTGTCATCCGGTCGGTGTTGGGGGCGGCCTCAGGAATGGGATGTCATCCTTTGAATAAATTAAACACATTTGCTTTAAGGTACAAATTAATTATTTATTTCATATCAAAATTAATTAATTAATACAAATTATCTAAATTTGACCTTTTCCTAAGAATATTACTAAATTCAATTCAAAAGACAAAAATATGACTCATTTTAAATTTTTTTAAAAAAATGACATATTTAGTGATCAGTTTACAGTGACTCGTCATTTGCAGTAACTTGTCATTCTAAAATGCACTATAATGACTAGTTTACCGTGACTCGTGCATAGTGAGTAACTAGTCATATTTTTGTCTGACAAACTTTATTAGTATTACACATGTCATTTTAACTTTGCAATTTGGATGCAATCATTTAGTATAGAAAACATTAATGTGCAAATTACCAAACAAGTCAATAATATTAGGAAGTACTCCGTACTATGCAGACATTATCTCTTAACCCTTGTAGTGAGTTTTAAAATGTTACTCCTTTTATTAAAACAAAAAGTTACTCCTTATATGATAAGATGCATTTCAATAATTATTGTATAGTACTCTTGTTCTCTTTGAATTGCAACAATTGATTTTTATGTTTGCCAACACACAATTTTGACTGTAGTTGTATCTGATTACATATTAATAAGGGAAAAGCACGGAAAAAGTATTTGTGGTTGGACCTTTCAGATAGGGTGTAACACTTGAGATTTAATTTAAACGGATTAATAGTACTATTCATACCAACAGAGATGCATTTCCTTTTAAGGGAGCTCATCACCCAAGAACTCCAAAGTTAAACGTGCTTGCACGGGAGTAGTCTTGGGATGGGTGACCCCCGGAAAGTTTCTCAGGGCGCGCACGAGTGAGGACAAAGTGCGCGATAAAGGCTTGTGGTGGTTTGTGAGGACAGTACTAGAGGTCTGGAGTAACTACCTCAGGTCCTGCGGAGTCGGGGTGTTACAAATGGTATCAGAGCAACCCTGCGACAGTGTACTGACCCGTTGGATATCGGGCGGGCACTTAGCAGGGGAAGATTCTGAGATTTGATTGAGATTTGGGATTGGTTTATGGGCGCAACGAGGGCATTGCGTTCCTAAGTGGGGGTGATTGTAACACTTGAAATTTAATTTAAACGGATTAATAGTACTACTACTCATACCAACAGAAGTGCATTTCCTTTTAAGGGAAGTAGGGAACTCATCACCCAAGAACTCCAAAGGCTTGTGGTGGTTTGTGAGGACAGTACTACAGGTCCCGAGTAACTACCTCGGAGCCTGTGGGGCCAGGGTGTTACATAGGGTCACGTGTTTCATTTTTATAAAGTGGTTCATGTGTTTGAATTCTGTTATCATCATAGGGTCACGCCGTTAAAAACGTCTGAGAAAGACGGTTAGTAGTAACTTTGATTTTCAAAAGTGCCCAAAAAATTAAAAGAAAAATACTGGAAGGTGCGCCTCAACAAGACGACCTCTAGACCATCTTGGGCATCTCTAAAATAAATGAAAATAATAATATAAATACCGCAAACTTTAATTGTGTGACATAAATACTCAAACTTGCTTATGTAATATATATACCTTGAACTTTATATAAAAAAATATTTTCGAACCATGATTGCATGTTTTTTACAAATATAGATTTATTGAAATAATTACATAATTCAGAATATTCTAAGCTTTGTTAGGATGCAATTAATGTTCTCAAATTTCATTTGTGAAATAAATAATATTACATCTGATTCAAAGTAATTTTAATTGCACCTCATAAATGTTTTGTGTACTTTAATTTATGTACTTAACACCATAAAATTACATTTACCTAAAAATATAGGTTCATGGCGTCAGTGTCATTAAAGTGGAAATGTTTGTCCAAATAACAAATTCATATGGAAAAATATGACATTTTTAGTATTGTATTTTCAAATGAGTAATATCTCTTTCTTAATACCAAAAAGTTGTACCTGTAATATTATCTTCTAATTGATATCATCATCATCATTACCCCAATGCCTCAAAGGCTCCCACCTACGGTGGGGTAAGGGTAGGTCGGATGTACGCAGTCTTACTCATGTACTAAAGCACAGAGAGACTGTTTCTGAATGACCCATAGTGAAGATTGTGTCGAAAATTTCATAGACTGACTGATGCTTCATAACAAAGAAGCGCAGACAGTTTAGTGAGCCATTTTGCTTTATTTCATCATATTTCCAAGCCAAAAATAGTGAGTCTTTGGCTTCATTGCAAATGATGGAAAATATTTTCGAATTGATAATCAAATTAAAATGGTAGATTGGGGAAGATTGGGGTTTCAACGATATGAAATAAGAAGTAGAAGAAAACAAACAGATATGGGGAAGGGCATAATGGGAAGAGGAAACTCATTTATTAACTCTTATTTTGGAAATAAATTAGGGAAAATGTAAACTAATAATCCAACCTTTTAGCGGTCTTCTTTTAATAGTCTCACATTTTCGTCATTCATGAATAATCCAACCTTTGCACCTCATCTTCATTCACTGGTCCCTGACCGGTTGACCTGCTATTCCAAGTTATTTTCTTATCTTTGCAAAATATTATCTTTGTGAAAGGTGGAATTTATGGTATAATAGTTTGCAGAGATGAGCAAATAACTCGGAATAGCAGGTCATCAACCGGTCAGGGACCAGTGAATGAAGATGAGGTGCAAAGGTTGGATTATTCATGAATAACGAAAAGGTCGGACTATTAAAAGAAGACCGCTAAAAGGTTGGATTATTAGTTTCCATTTTCCCAATAAATTAACAAAGATTCCTATTTTAAGGCAATTTTTTTATTAGGTAAATATAAATAGGCAATATTTGTAAACACAAATCTATATAATTTAATAAAGGAAACCCTTGGAAAAAGCCTATGAAGGAATTTCGACATGTGGCAGCTCCTTTGCAAGAACAATTGACATGTGGCAACCCTTTGTAACAAAAATTGAACATGTGGCATCATAATGACAATTATCTCACCCTAACATTTATAAGCAATTAAACACAAAGAAAAATCTGTTGATCTCCCAAAACTCCTCCACCGAGTCTTGGCTCATCTACAAGCAATTATCGTTCTGGTTCCTTCAAATTCTCTTCATAGATTGCATTCTCATTTGATCACCCAAATTCTAAATATAAGAAACTAAAATACTAAGCACACAATACTTGTGATAAGTTTAGTTTAAAATAGTAAAAATTGAAAATAATAATCCTAACTATTGCCGGTCCGCCGACAATAATCCCAACTATTGATTATTTTTGTATAATCCCAACTATATGGACCGTCCGCCAATAATGGTCCATGACCAGATATTACCTCCTACAACATGTGATTTTTAAATAGAAATTAAGTGTAAAAATTAAAAGTTAGGATTATTTATAAGGATTACTTGCTATATGTCTTCTCATACACTTTAAAAACTACAAGAATTTATTTATAGGGACTACTATTGGCGGAAGGTCCCTAAAGTTGGGATTATTCTGAAATAATCAATACTTGGGATTATTATGGGCGGACCGCCAATAGTTGGCATTATTACTATCAATTTTTCCTTTAAAATATTATTAAATCATTGTTATACTAAAATTTGATAACCGTTACATTGTATTACCTACGTCCCACTAACATTGGGACATGAGGTGGTGACACGATTATTAAGAATAATGAGTTTATGTGGTTGACATTGAATTGATAAAGTAAGCATAAAGTAAGAACGATTTAAAACCACACAAACGTTACCTAATTTTGTATGAGACAGTGTTAGAGGGACGGACCTAAAGAGAAAGAAAAGAGAATCTTAGCGGGACGAAGGGAGACAATGAGTATCTATCAAAAAACTCATTGTACAAAAATAAAGATGCAATTTACATCTTTTGAGTAAACATTTGTAAACAATGACAATTAATTGTTAAGAAATTATTTTCAACAATAACATAAACAATATGCTAGAGTATTTTTATTTTATAGTAGTTTATTTGAATAATTATTTGTTGGGATATTGGGTCCAAGCCCAATATCCCCGGCCCAAAGTGTGAGGATACAAGGAGGAAACAGAAGGCCCAAAGCAGTTCAGACCCGTTCGGCGTTCGGCACATTATTCTTACTTGGAACATTTCGGGGAATAACTACACCTACATCCATGACGGGGGTACCGAACACCGATCAGCGTTCGGGATATTAGCTATCAAGATAAACAATAACGGGGTATCCTAATATCGAACATCCTACCCGAACGGGTAGTCAACAAGTGGATCCTGCATTTAATGCTAAAGCACGGCGGTAGCAAGTGGGGGCATGGGTTCTTACGTGGCAGGGGGTACAACCTACCGGATTCAGCCACGTGTCCAGCTTTCCCATCCCCATTTTACTATAAATACCTGCATTAAGATCATTGTAAAGGGTTAGCATTTCGATACTCAGAGCTTAGCAAGTAGAAACACTTCTCTTATTCTTGTATTCTTGTACTTACCTACCGTTCGGGTAATTTCGGTGTAATCGCAGAATTACTGAATACAAGTAAGCTCCTGAGTTGGATAATATCTCACTGTTTTATATTTACTATATTCTTTAAACCAACCCAACATCCCTACAATATCCAAAGCTTGTGTTGGGCTTTCTGATCTTCGGGAATAAACCTCAACATTGGCGCCGTCTGTGGGAATGGGAGGGGGGACCTCCTGTTCGTCTTCAACACCACAGGAAAACAATCTGCTGTCGTCCATAGTTGCTGGCTGGTCGGGAGTTGCTCCTTCGGAATCTGAGGTTTCGCCTTGATTGAGAGCTAAAAATAAACAAGGGAAATATTAATACC